TTGTTTACGATTGTTGTATTAATCAATTAAGATTCAATTTTCTGATATTATGATTTACAAATAGTAATACAAATAAATACCTACCAATATTCCATATGGTTATATAATAATCATTAATACATGTTATTATGGTAAGTTATTCATAAACCTTGGTTGATAACTAATAACTAATAATGTAATCAACATCATGAACTAAGATATTATAATGGACTGACATTGTCTTTGTGAGGGAGTGAGGGAGGTATAGAATAGGAGTGTATTACTCCCATATGTCTGGTGAATGGTGATATAATCTATAGGACCTTAACTTGATACCCATATGCCATATCTTGCTTGAAAATTAAAAAATCGGAAAAATCGTCCTCTCCAAAACGGATTCAAATTAACTATAATATTATAATTAACAAAAAGAAAAACCTTAGAAAATATTATAATTATCATACTTTTAATAAATAGATTATTATCACTGTAAACTACTTACGAAATTGCTTGGCATAACAGTAGTTTAAAAATCCAAATTCGTCTATTATACATGTAAATAATTATTATTAAACGTTTTTTATTACTTAATGATACATACTGATCCATTTAATTAAAAAATGAAATCCTAATTGATTGATTATTTACATTTATTTTTTTTTAAGCTAATGCATACCTGAAAATCCAACTCTCTGTAAATCATCTGTTAGTCATTTGTAACATACACAATATAATATTAACAAAGTTAATGAATTGTATTTTGGTCAAATAAATAATGATCAAAATAATTTATGTTAGTTCCATCCAAACTCCCAACTCTCGTACAGTCGTACCTATAGGAAAATATAATATATACTACAGTCTACAAGGTGTGTGTTCTCAGAATTAAAAAAGAGGCGAATTAGGTAGCCAGTAGCCACTATTCTCTACAATAGATGTTATGTGTACCTCGTCAAGGAGTAGGTCACTGTAATAGTTGTGTCGATTTTTAAGACTGTGTTAAGCGATTCTTGGTTCAGCCGCTTTCGCATATTTACCGCAAAGTACGATTGATCATAATACAACTTTTTACCAACACGATTGACTATTTAGCATAGAATGTTTTAAGAGACGTTGCCCCTTCAAGCTATTTAATTTGATTCAGACCATACTATGATTTTATTATTTTAATAACTATTACTATTATTATTATCAAACATATTTATGAAATGTGACTGTTATTCACAATGATAACTTGTTGTTTTTTTAACTCGTAACATATTTTGAATTTTATATAGTTCACAATTGAATATAGTGATGTTGCAGAGGTTTGTACTCTCAATCGTTTAGTTTATATTTTGTATTTCTGTATTCTATGGTTAGTGTTTTGAATAGATAACGAAAACATTATCTATATAAGATGAGATAATTTTAAAAAAATATTACTTATAATAATACTTATTTTTATTGTTTTTAGTATATTTGAAATATTAGATTTATATCAATATAATGACATAATATTTATAATAACAACGGATTGAGCCTTTTAATTTAACTATTTGAATATTATTGAGTATAATATTATGTTTTTATCAGCTACCTGGTGCGGTCTCATTTGAAATACAGTTCTACGAAGTTAATTTTAATTTATTTTTAAAATATATGGGGAAATAAATCTATAATTTATTTATTTTAATATGCTCATTATAGCTAGTAGAGAACGATGTATAGTGCATGCCCGCACGGAAGTTCTCGTATTATGGTAATATTGTCAATAGTGCAATAACAACAAGAAATATATTCTTCTAATTTTATAAATAATTTATAATATATTAAAATTTCAGTAACATTGGTTTTATAAGTTTTTAAGGGCACTATAATATTTATCTACATAAGCCCATTTTTTATCTAAGCAAAACATTAGATAAATCGTAACATAATTATCTCTTTAAAAGACAATTTATTTCAAAAAATCTTATCTAGATAATTTCCAAAACTGTCTATGATACGAAAAATTTTCTGAATCGTTTAACAAAAATGGTGTTATATTATGCTCAAATGGGTCGTAGCCAATATTACTATATGTACGTATATTTTATCATATTATATTAATTATAATGCTACAATAAAAGTGTATTTTACAATAAGTAATACGGTAAGTTGAATTATTTTTTGCCAAAAACATCTCATTTACTATATTATTATCAATTATTTAAAGAGACCGTGATACCCACATGTGTTGTCGCCGTCTTACAAGTGCCCAAAATAGCAAATTTTACAATCAGCAAAACACTTGTAGATCCGTTAACTTAAAAATTAGAGTCAATTGACCTCTTATAAAATCTAAATATAAGATTATTATTTCGGTAACCTCATGGGTATTTTATTTTATTTCAATTTCTAAGCGAGTTGTGAGTACTTGAGGACGTACAATCAATTAAAATTTTAAAATACTCGTAGCTCGCTTTAAATTTAATTGTAATATATAAATATTAGATACTCATGGGTACTTGGAACTTTTGAAGTAGGTATATCATAAATTGTATGCATCTTCTTTCTTTTTGGGTTTATTTGGGCCTTAGGACCATGCCGCCTGACAGCGAAGCCAACACTTTTCTCTGTCTAAAGTTAAAATCCTCCAGTTGGGCCCTCCTCCCAAACGTTTCATATCATCTTTTAAAACATCCTCCTATCGTATTTGCAGTCTTCCCAGCAGTCTTTTCCCAGCGACCCAAATTAATATATCCTTTTACTATTAGCAAAATAACAATAGTATTTATAGTCAATATAAATATATCTTATAGCCCATACCTATGTAAAGTTATATTGAGTAATGCAGGCTGACAAACTGCCATCGATCAAAATCGTTTTTCATACACAATGATAATATAATATCATTGAATTAAATTGTTCTAATTTAGCACATCCAATACACATTACAGTATTCCATACGACACACATTATGGAACAAATACGTTACACACCATCTTCTCCCCAATAACTACTAAATTTACTTTGAATTTTTATCTATGACGGACAGAAAATATATAAAATAAAATGAAAAAAAGAAATAATACACACGTCATATTATTATCATTGTTAAATCAATATATTTATTGGAGCGATCAGAACATTCAGAAACTTAAAGATTGTTCTTTATTAAAAGTGTGATATAAATGGACAGAGTTGCAGTTTGTTTCATAATACGTATTTAAATATTAAAGGTAGACCAAGTTCTGCTATATAATGGTTATTTTTTATACATATATTAATTGTAAAATATATTATATTCTAAAATAAAGTTTCTTACCTTCGCAATCTAGACACAAAAAATATCTGAATTAAATAAATATAATGACATGGAAATGTAATGTATGTTTGTTGAATGAATATTGAATATCCATATTAATAAACGTAGGTATCCGACAACCCGGCATTTTCGCTCCAAGCATAAAAAAAAGTGCACCTTAAAATACAAATGTAGGCGAAAAACACGTGAAATCTGCCTGACCATATTTACAGGAAGCAACATGATTCACGAAAAAAAATTTCTTGAGAAAGCATAGCTAGTTTGTAGTTAAATAATAAAGTTTGAAAAATGAAAATACAATAATCTAATTGGAAATCTTACGTAGAAGTGCATGGTTTAGTTCTCAAATAATTTTGAACCATATAACAGACTAGAAATTATTGTTGTTGTTTTTCAAAATTATATTAGATAATATTCCCCAAGGCCCAAATTACAATGCACTATGCGTCACCTATACCTATTATAGCGAAAAATTAAAAATAATAATAATACTAATTTCTAATATTACTATCATAATCTGCAAAAAAAAAAAAGAAAAAAAAAACATCATTGTAAAATCAATATATTCCTGAAAGAATTAAGTATCAACGAAAAGTTAGTGATATCCCAACAAATAAAAAAAAACCCACTCTTAATGTATAGTACCTAGTAAGTCTTTGAACTATAGATATTATTTTAATATAAATTATATCAGTAGTTCAAAGACTATAGATAAATGATATCACAAATTCACAACTTTAAAACCTTTTATTTTATACTTGGCGTTTTTTTTACACGATGTTTGAGTGTTTTTGTTGGGAATATATATTAGTTATAGACTAAAATACCTAATAAATGGAAAATGAAAAATCGATACTAGTGATCGATAAGTAAAAAAAAGTTATGAAATTTATATGGATAGTTTACATATTTTAAAATTAACTTATGATTGAAAAGAAATATTTTTATTTAGAATATTTTGAAAAACAAATACCTTTTACATTCCAATTTAATTATCACGAAAAATTTAAAAAAAAAAATTAACTTGACTAAAATAACTGTTATTAGCTTCAACATATTTCTAATAACTATGATACGGAGCGCTTTGTCACCGAATCTTGTAATAATGTTAACGCAATGCTGGGTTAATATTACATTTGTTTAATATAATATAACTATATACATATGTTACAAATATATTAAAGACATAGTTCCCGGGGCTGCATCCGATGCCCGTGTAGTAAACCGACGTTTTTGCACATAAACGGCTTTCCAAAGGTTAGGTGGCCTGAACAACATCACGCCACCAAAATAGGCCATTGAGACTGCCGCCTCATTGGTTAATACTGATCGACTACGCATCACGCCATACCTATGACGTCAATCATTCTTTCCTAAATCCCGGGCACGTCTCATATAAATAGGGGCCCTGTTTCACAGACTTTTCAGACATAGAAGTGGATACCAGTGCTTTACAATACTTGTGTGGGTCGCGGACTAGAAACAGCCGCATCGCCGTTCACACTAAGTACAAATTAAATTACAACTATTCTCCTGCAAAATTATTATTCTGTCGACAAATTTTAAACTACCTTAAAATTAACTATTATATTAGTTTCGTGTTAATAAACATACTCCGTTAACTAGATTTACAAAATGGTTGGTTTGAAAAAAAATCATCAATTCCTCATCCAGAGTTCGTACCGTGCAGACGTCAGTTACAACGTTACATTGACGCACTAAAAACGAAACCATGGGCGGCCGCAGAGGCGTTGCCAAAAAGAATCTGACTCCTCCGGTCACTGAATCGAAGAAAATCCGCAACGGGGCATACTCACCACCACCAGTACACGTTGTCACCACACTGCAACAGCGTGCTGAACCGAAATCGCCCGATCCAACGGACTGTGAATCGCTGTCAGGCGAATCTTATGTTTCATCCGTAAACTCTCGACCAGCCAGCCATCTGTCAGATACGGACCCACCTTTGGCCGGTATGTCCGCATCTTCTTCCACACTCATATTGGGTAAGTCAAATACTATTAATAACGATAATACAACTCCAACCGTGGACCCCTCCGTCCAAAGTGTATCGAAAACCCCGTTACCACCGCCTATCATTATCAATGCGTCATTGTGGCGTCAAGCAGCACCGCTCATCATCCAAAACCAAGACATCTCTTCTATCGGCTTTGCTTCTAAATCATCATCCGACGATAAAATCTATGTAAAAACATCAAGCACCACTCAATTCTGTCAAATTCAAAAGATTCTCATTGTTAACAATATTGATTTTCACACTTTCTTCCTCGCGGCTGACCGCCAGCTAAAAGTAGTAATCAAAGGTATTCCTACGGATATCTCTGCTGAAGAACTCAAAAGCTAACTGGTAGCCCATAATTTCGATGTTCAGCTAATAAAACGCTTCGGACCGGTAGACAAACATATGCCCATGTGCCTAGTTATCCTATCCAACAACTAAGCCAAAAACGTCTATAATCTATCCGAATTATTTTACTTAAAGATCACTGTTGAATCTTATAAGAAATCCGGCCCTTCCCAATGCCACTTTTGTCAGAAATTCGGAGACGGATCGAAAAACTGCGGAAACACTCCTCGTTGCGTCAAGTATGCAGGCTCACACAGAACCAGCGAATGTACCAAACCCCACGAACAGGCCCCGACATGCGCAAACTGCAAAGGTGCCCACACAGCAAATTTTCGCGGCTGTCCATCTTACTCCGAAATAGCTAAACATTTCACATCAAAATCATCCACACCAAACAATCCGTCATCTAGCAAATCTACCTATTCTCAAACCATACCCCAAAATAATGCCACTTCACCAACTCAATCACCATCCGGAAATCCCCCCACTCATCTCCTCGACTACGCTGATGCTACCAAAAACCAACCCGCATCATTATACCGACGATAATTTCGTCAACCACCGTCGAAATATCAATGGGAAACTACGAACTACAAATCTCCGCCGTGTACAAGAGCCCGAATCAGCCAATGGAAACTGACGATATAGACGCGCTAACCAATGGCAATCATTGGTTTGTTGTTGCGGGCGATCTCAATGCAAAACACCCCCTCTGGCATAGTCGTTGCTAAAACGCCGTGGGCAATGTATTATATAACCACGCCCTAAATGACGATTACACCGTTACAGCTCCGGACACACCAAAATTCTTCCCAGCAGTCGTAGGACACAGGCCTGACGTTTTAGACGTTGCACTAATCCATCTCCCACAACTCTCCTGTGATGTAACAAACCTCAACAAACTTTCCTCCGACCATAATCCTGTGCTACTTACACTGTCTGACTCTCCAATCACCTCCTCGCCTCTTCAAACCTCAAGATGCGTTAATTGGACTAAATACATTGCCAAAATTGGTTCCTATTCTCCGTCGACCAACCCGCCAATCAGAACGGCCCGCGACATCGACGTGGCTCTCGACCATCTTAGCACAAGCATTGTAACCGCTGTTAACGACAGCACATACATAAAAAATAATCGGACACTCAGAAACGCTCTTCCTCCCGAAATCATCGAATAAATCGAAACAAAAAACCGCCTACGTCGCGAATGGCAACGTTTTCCTTGGTCAAACGTCGTCTAAACTGCAAAATCAAATTCATACGTCTGATCCTCCAGGCACACCGTGCCGACGAATGGGATCACTTCCTCAGTACTCTGGACGCCCAGTACGGTTCAATTTACAAGCTAAATAAGAAACTCCTAAACAAAACCCCTGCGGTCCATCCGCTGATTGGCCCGAATGGCCTCATGTACAGGGATGAAGAAAATGTTGAATTATTTGCTGACACATACGAACACCAATTCAAGTTAACTACGGGCCCTGTCATGCCAGAAGTCACCACCTTCATCCACTCACTTCGTCCACCCCCACAATCTGTTTGTTACACATCACCTGGCATCGTTCAACAAATAATAAACTGAATCCCCAAACGCAAAGCTCCTGGCGCAGACTCCGTCACTAACATAGACATCAAACTCCTACCCAGGAAATTAGTCTTGCTTCTCACCCACATCTTTAACGGATGCCTAAGAATTTCCCACTTCCCTCAGTCTTGAAAGCATGCTATTATCATCACTATCCCCAAACCGGGAAAAGGTCACCGACATCCAGTCAACTACCGCCCTATTGCGCTGCTATCCTCCCTCTCAAAAATCTTTGAACGTGTTGTCATAGCGAAACTAAACGCTGCGATTGGTCTTAAAATCAGAAATGAACAATTCGCTTTCCGCCCTCAGCATTCCACAACTCATCAACTTGTCGGCCTAATTGACCAATTGGTAGTAAACTCGAACAGCAAATTGCGCACAGCCGCCGTCTTTCTGGACGTCGAAAAAGCTTTCGACCGAGTCTGGCACGCAGGCTTACTGTTCAAGCTGCATACCTTAGGCACCCCTACACCACTGCTAAATGTAATAAACTCATTCTTTGCAGACCGTACCTTCTCGGTAAGACTAAACAACACTATATCTAGCAGCAGACCGGTCCTTTCAGATGTACCGCAAGGCTCTTGTCTCTCGCCGACACTCTACTTGGCCTACACTAACGATGTTCCCCTCAACCAAAACACCCGGCTTTACCTATTCGCCGATGACACAATGTTCACAACCTCGAACCAAAACCTAAAAAGGGCAGCCATACAACTGCAAAAGCAACTAAATGAAACCCTAGCCTGGTGCAATAAATGGCGTCTCAACATCAATGCCCAAAAATCGGTTGTGGTCATGTTCAACGGCCCCAACAATTTCGCTTCACACCACCTGAACCTAAATGGTCACCAAATTCCCTGGTCTCCTACATCTAACTACCTCGGCGTAACCCTTGATCGAAATCTTTCATTCTCAGCACACATCAAGTCTACTATCAAGAAAGCCACCACCGTCCGTGGCATGCTGTACCCGATCCTAAACTGCACCAGCCCTATTCCCATTATAACAAAACTTAATATTCTCCAAATGTATATTAAACCTATCCTGTCATACGCCGGCCCAGTGTGGGGACCACTAATATCTAAAGCAAATTGGCGCAAACTCGAAGCCGTCCAAAATATCGGCCTCCGTACAATCACATCCTCCCCATGGTTTGTATCAAATAAAATAATCCTCTTTTCAACTCGTACCTCTACCGTCAAGCAATCAATAATAACTAACAGCAAGAACTTATTTCACCGCAACTCAAATTCTACTTTCAATCACATCCGCAGTCTTGGAAAATCCACTTCAGCTACCGACCCAACCTCAAAATCCATAAAACCACGCCCCTTTCTATGGTCTAACTCTAACTAATTAAATCACACACCACATCTCACTCAACTCGTCATAAGCTAACGCCTGGAACGAGTATATAGGCACATCGCCGTCACACAAGCAATGCAATGGTTTGAAAAAAATATTTAACATGATTTAATTTTTTTTGTTTCAGTATTAAAAAAGAAAAAGAAAAACATAATTTATTCCTAATGCAATCTTCTATATGTTATATGGATGGATATACCCATATTTCAAAAAAAATATATACATTTTGTCTATAGTATACTGTATAACTCGTAATTTCATTACTTTTTAATTCTTATTTGTATTTGATTCATTTATTTTAATGAATACTATCGTATCGAAATTAAAATAATTTCATCTTTAATATAATAGTATTACCTATCTATATAATAGAGAAGGAAATTTAAAATTAACAATTTATTTGATTAATTTATTCTACATTCTATAAAAACAGTGACTACATTCTAGTATAATTATCAAAATTAAGATTTACTTGGTATTAACTTATATATTATAATATTATATTTTATATTAATGATATTTTCCTTACTTATAATTGATTCTTATTTTAATATAAATACAAAATCATCATTACCTTTTAGTTTAGGATTACCACTACAGCTTATAATAAAATTTACCACACTTAATGTAATTAAAACTTTATAAGAAATCATAGTTGATGTTCAAATCAACACGAAGAACGATAATTAATGTTACCTTACAAAGAATATAATATGACTAATTTTTGACTAGGTAAAATATAATAGTTTGGTCTTTATAAATGAACAACTAACTAAATATTTGATGTTGACAAAGCATGTACGTACTTGAAACTTGATAATATTTACCTAACCTAACCGCAATTTTTTTATTTTGAATATTACATGGGATGTTATACTTCTAAAATGTATACATAAATCTATATCAATATTATAAAGAGGTAAAATTGTTTGCTTGTTCGGGGTAATATCTGGTACCACTTTACCAGTTTAATTAATTTTTTCTACCACCAGAAACCTACTGTTGCCGGTCGACCAATGTTTAAGAAAGATTAGGTAGGTTAATATAGGTTGTATCTTAGCCCTTTATCACCCGACGATCCCCGAAGGATTATCATTCATGATTAGTTTATCATGTTTTACCAATATGAATACTATATTGTAATATAAACATTTGGTGAAAATCTCAGGGATCTATGGTTAACCGTTTTTGAAAATATAAAAAAAAATTGCTCGTTTTATATATTTTAATTTGTTGTTGAATTGTCTGCAGATATTATGTGGAATACCTGAATACACGCTAATATTCAAACTGTGTGGGTACAGCTGTAAATTATTAATTTAGTTGGTATGAGTTAGGTACACTACGTTCTACATACCGCAAACCGAAATTATAGTTATTATTATAGGTAGTAATTTATTTTACACTTTATATTATAGTAATACGGTATAACTGTATAGACATTTTGAACATTTTGTATTATTTTTGTCAATTTCTCTTAGTGTTTACAAATTTTAAAAAAATTCAGTTAACACCTACTTTGATCTCATAAGTAATTTAAACTTTTAATCGGTTTTTCTGAAATCTATCAAATGTTTTCATATAAGTATGAATTATTATTATTATCATCCTTATCGTAGTAAATATCGTGAGTAGTATATATTTTTATGTTCAGCTAACACCAGCACAAAAAAATTTTTAAAGAGGGAATGTCCCGCTTATTGCACTCCGATTTACCATGTAACACATTACTTAGTTTACACACTGATGTACGAGAAACCAGTCGTCGTTTGCTCAGCTGCGTAACAGGCCAAAGAAAACGTATTATTTACGTAATATTTTCATCGATTAAAATTAAAATTTTGAGTATCATTAAAAGTGTAGGGGTAAACCAAAACTACATTTTTATAGTCAGCATGTTATTGTATTAAACAATCATGCCACGGTGTTCGATCGCCGTGACGCGTATCTTACAACTGAGTGAACTAACTACGAACATAATTATAATATTCGCTCGAGTGGACGACCGCTCAGCAGACCGATAATATTGATCGTCAAGACCCGC